GAACAGTAGCAATTCAAAAAACTCCATGGCAAGAAAACTGACAGCACTTCACTTCCTAACCTTTCCTTATGCTCCCTTCTCCCTTGCCCTAGTATCTTCCTCTTGTAATACATTCATGTCATCTTTTTGTTCTAGAGCTCATATAACATGCAATACTTGTGTTTCTGAGTCTGGTTTAGGGCTGGGGATTTAGCTCAGTGGTTCAGCTGCCTATCTCACAAGAGCAAGGTCCTGAGTACCAAAAACAAAGAAAAGAAAAGAAAAAAAGATGGTATTATCTTACTGAGTCTGGTTTATTTTGCTTAACATGCACTAGCATTCTATCCATTTTTCTAAAAATGACATGATTTCATTCTTTATGGCTGCATAATATTCTGTTGTGCATATGTACAATTTTCATTATCCATTCATCTCTGAAACATATCTAGGCTTACTAGATTCCATGGTTACTGTGAATTATACTGCAATGACCATCAGTGTTCAGATACGTTTATCATATACTTAAATTATTTCAGGTATATACCATGGAGTGGTATAGCTGGATCACAAGGTAACTCTATCTTTAATTTTTTGAGCTAGCTCCACATTGATTTGCATAGTAGCTATATTAATTTACATTCCAACCAACAGCATATAAAGGTCCCTTTTCCTCTCTAATCTTCATCACTATGAGTCTAAATTGTATCAAAATAAGTTTTTTTTTAAGTCATGGTTTTTGGTAATAATATTCTGTTCACAATATAGCAAGAAATTAAATCAATTCAAAGTCTTTTTTTTGCTTGGGATACCAGACAACATGTAGAGTTATAATCAAATATTGAATAAACCAAGAATTTTGTACCAAGGTAAAAATATTCTATGAGACAAAAGTACCTATCAAAGCTCCCATAAAGAATGGATACATTTTGAGGATAAGTGAAATAAATAAGTCACACATGTGTAAATACCAAATAGTTTCTCTGGTGTGAAAAACTAATAGTACACAAGATCCTAATGAGATAATTAACAATGTGAAATAGGAAGAAAAGGGCTAAAGGTGTAGGGAAAGTGGGAAGGGTAGGAGAAAGGGAATAAGGGAAAAGAAAAAAAAATGAGAAAATGAAAAAAATGGAAATAAAGTGTTTGTAAATGGGGAGGGGAGGAGAAAAAAAAAAGAATGATGATACTGCTGGTCATTCATTAAATTAGACAATGTTCTTTGTACAGGATCCTTTACAAGAAAATTCATAACAACAATCATATTGGATCATTATAGTTTTATTCATACACATAAATCACTATTTACAACAACTACTTTGTTTCATATTTCCCTAAATAGAACCCTAAATAGGAGAAACTACTACAGGTCATTTAGGATCTCTACTTTACTGGATGAAATAATCCATTTGAATAATTTCCTCATACAAATTTGAATAAATGGATATAAAGTTTAGTAGAAAAAATTAAAAATCAAATTCATAACAACATAAAGTTAATGAAAGCAAAAATAAACTTGGACTCTAATTTCACAACAACTGGAACAATATTTTCTGCATGCAATTTGTAATGAGGAATCCATTTTAATTAGAAGTGTCTGCGGCCAGGGATTTAGCTCAGTGGTTTGGTGGCCTGCCTTGGAAGCACAAGGACCCGAGTTCAATCCCCCGTACCAGAAAAAAAAAAAAAAAGTTTAGAAGTGTCTGAATGTGACACAGCAAATACAATGTGAAATTAACTTTACAGTATATTCATATTTGGTGTGATTCTGTTTTTAATGATTTAGTCACTTAATCGGAGGACCAGTGATACATTCTAGAAGAAAATACAGAATTCAGAGTTGCTCATTAAGATAAAGAAATTGTAGTTTCACACAGTAGCTTTAAAAACAGTAATTACATTATATATTACACGTACATAATATCTTTCTAAACATACCAGTTTTTTCAGAGAATCAAATACTATTTATTGTTTTAGGCCTGAGTTAGAACAAGAAAAACACTAGGCTTAAACAAGCAAATGTCGTGTGTTAAATACGTACTGTAATGATTTTTAAAATATACTTTTAGGGCCAGGGATTTAGCACAGTGGTTCTGCCACCTGCCTCACAAGTACAAGGACCTGAGTTTGACCCCCCAGTGACAATAAATAAATAAACAAATAAATAAATAAACTTTAAAAACTCATATTTGTTTAACTACATGTCAGTTTAGGAAAATGACTCAATTTTGAATAAATTATTTCAATGACTTCAACTATCCAGAGGTGAGAAAATAACTTGGTCCTAATCCTCTGATTCAAAGATAAGTAAAAGCCAAGCCAAGCTAAAGATAGCACACCTTGACTTTTTTTGGGACTATTGGCAAAAATGTGCTTTCTTTTGGAGCTGCTGAGCTGGCTGAATATCAGCTCCAGAATGAATTTAATCAAGAGGGAAGTAAGATGCTAGGGATGAAGAAAAAAAGATTTTTGTAGTTATGTGAATACCTAAAATTAGCTTTTAGGTTACATGAGTTAAAGGAAAAAATACAAAGCACCGTTGACTTACAAATTCAATCAGTTCCCAAGGGCTGGTTGTAACTCAAGCTGGCTGTAAGTCAATGTAGTTGAGACCTGATACATGCTACAGATAACAAGAGGCAAGTAAAACTTCCATTAACCTAATTAACCTGTTGTTCATATGTCAGGACAGTAATAACTTCAGGGTCCCCTGTACTTTTACATGTGCTTTGGATTTTTATCATTTTCAATTAAGCGATGTTGCTAATAATATTTATCAGATGATCTTCAAATTATTCAGTTCTATAATACAATAAGTCTAAATTTATCCAAAGATTTTGGAAGTAAGAAATAATCTAAACTGAGAATGTTTAAAAGATTAGGTACTATATTTTATTTTATTATTATTATTATTTTGGTACCAGGGATCAAACTCAGGTAAGTACTATATTTTAACGATAGAAAATGAACCATTAAGTGGATTGATATGAACACAATTCTGGCCTTGCCTTTTGCAGTGCCACTGAATCTGATGAAGTACTCTCTCTGGGACTCTAAGAATATGAGGATAAAAGAGGAAAACTGAACACAATAACCTTTAAGGTCTTACAAAGTGCCTGGTTATAAGCACTATGAATAAACTGTCATCCTCGATTGAGTAAAGAGCTATTCTTTGTTACTTCATGCTTCCATTAAGCATTTAAAATGCTTATTGTTTTCTGGGTTCTGACTAGGCACTGAGAAGGCAGTATCTAACTCAAGAAGCTTAGAGTCTAGCAGAAGAAGAAAAAACATCAGAACTAGATAATTATCCCATATGATAAGTGAAAAGAATAATGTACATGAGAAACAAAAATAATACAAGACTATTTGGGAAGAGAGCAGGCTTCACAGAGCAATACCTAAAATTAATTTTAACAGATGAAAAGGTTTGTTAAATCAACAAAAGGAATAGCATGGTCCTAAGGTGAGTAACAGATTGCTTAAAGGAATTTGTAAACGAGTCAATAGTGAAGGTAAAATAATGTTTCTGAATCTAGAGAAAATATTTAATTATACAATTATCCTGCTTAAATAGTCTCAGGCTGGCATATTACCTAGCAGATTATAGTTAAAGTTTGATAAATGGTGAACGAACTGTAGTAGTCTGACTGAATACGAGTGAGCATGGATCTTAAAATATACAATAGCAAGAAATGAAAAAGCTTTTTAAAATTCAAGTCTCAAGGAGACAACCTTTTAATGATTTTTTTATTTCTATATAGTTACTATGACTTAACCAAAGACTTACAAACTCCCCTCTCTTTATGGGATACTCATATACATGATCCAACGTCTTCCTAGGCATTGTCCAAGTCTAAGTATATCTTCGTCAACTCTACAGACGATCTCATCTTTGAAATCTCAGCAGTCTTTTACTGTTCTAAAATACTCACAATTATTTAAATATCGAATGTTGCTGGAGTATCATGCTCACGGATACTACCCCTAACCACACCCCCATTTGAAACCTACACTATCACAGCTTCACCCACTCCGTTCAGTTCCACAAATCTCATTAGGGCAGGAAATAGAGAACTTGTAACGTCTTGAGTCGAGGTGTGTTTGAACTGTGAAGTCATATGCTTATTTTTTGTCCATATTGTAGAACCCAATGAGTTAACAAGGATCCACGCAATCCCGGTATTGCGGACTAGGGGGTCACAAATTCAATTACCACTTTCCATTCTCTTTCCGTCCCTGTAAAGGGGCAGGGAAGAATGAGGGATGGGTTAAAGGGAGGCGGAACATAAGAGAACGCGGCCTTACTTCCGATCGCCACGCTGTATCAAGAAAACCAAGTCTGGTCCCTCTGCAAGCCACAAAAGTCAGGTCAGACTCCAAGGCTCGAAGAGCGGTTTTCAAGGAAAAGACACGAAATAAACTACTCTGCAGGTACATTCTCTGGTTTGTTCAGAACTTACCTGTCAAGAGCGGCGTGGACGGCGCCATCTTGTCCCGGAAAAATAAACCCATGCGCTAGGGTAAAAGTTCAACAAGGACCGAACCCAGGCCCTACACGTCTCCTCGTGGGTGGGGAGTACTCGTAAGCGTTTCCGGGGCCAGCAGCCTGGGGGCCCTTTCACTTCCGGTTCTAGAGTGCGCACGCGCATCCCTGGGTTACCGCCTCAACGCGCTGAGAGGGCGGGGCTAGGGCGGTTGAGCCTGCTGTCGTCCTCTCTCTGGCGGGCGGAGTCTGGACTTCCGTGGGCGGAGTCTCCTCGGTGCTGACGTTGGCAGCCGGACCCAAGTAGTTCGAGGCTCGGGCGACACTGTCCGGTGCTCGTGTTTCCTTCCTCTTTCAGTCCGCGCTCCTAGCGGTGCCCAGAGCAGCGGCGCAAGAGCGTCCCGGGGTCCT